GGGGGTTCGTGGGTTATGAGAACGGGTGGGTTAATTTTAGTCTAAAGGTTAAACAAATAAAATAAAAATAAAAATAAGAAGAAAAACAAAAAAAACACAAAAAAAAAACGCCAAAATTTTGACGGGCTCGCGCGAACACTAGCGCTAACTCGCGCGTCCTTCGCGCGTTCCAGGCAGTGAGGTGCGCGAACATATGCGCGAGCTCGCGCTTCCCTTCGCGCACGATTGTGCTTCTCAGGCAGAATGTTTGCCCAGTTCGCGCAAACTCTTGCGCGAACTCGCGCGTCCATCGGCGTTCTAGGCAGTATTTGTGCGAACTTATGCGCGAACTCGCGCGTCTGGGCATTCGTTTTTTGTACTTTTTCCACCTGTATTGCTCTCGGTCGATGGTCTTTTCACCCTCCCTTCGTCACCTGCATTAGTTAGTATGCCAAAATACAAAATCAAACACTACTACTATCGTTGGGTTGCCTCCCAACCGGCGCCTTATTTAACGTCGCGGCACGACGTTTACAACAATTCAGTGGGTTACCTCCCATCTAGCGCCTGATTTATCGTCGCGGCACGACGCAGAGTCTCGCTTACTCATCAGCGAGTACAACCTTGGTCTTTTCACGATTAATCATTCCTCCCCAATAGTGCTTGACTCTATGCCCATTCACCAAAAATGTTCTCTCACCATTTAAAGCTCGCAGCTCGATTTCACCATAAGGAGTGACTCGCACCACCTCAAGAGGACCTGACCATCTCGACTTTAGCTTCCCAGGGAACAGCCGTAGTCTAGAGTTAAATAACAATACCTGTTGGCATGGCTCAAAGTGACGTTGTTTGATATGCTTGTCATGCCATCGTTTTGTCTTTTCTTTATATAGCTTGGCATTTTCATAAGAATGTAGCCTGAACTCGTCTAACTCATTCAACTGCATAAGTCTTTTCTCACCGGCGACTTCAAGATCCATGTTCAGCTTCTTAATGGCCCAGTATGCTTTGTGTTCAAGCTCCACGGGCAAGTGGCAGGCCATCCCATAAACCAGCTTGTAAGGGGACGCTCCAATTGGCAT